TGTAGTTTATAAGGAAATTCTTCTCTGTGGAATCACAGTAAGCTCGTGGAGAAAGAGAAAACCAGGAAACCACATGAATCAGAGCCAGTGATCAAGCTGGCTGCTCAAACCATTAGATAAAATGTTGGGGGGGGGAGGGAGTTTGATGTGGTGGATCAGGCTGTCAACACTTGAACCCACTGGTGAATTTCACTATAAAGTGCAACAAGTGGACATACTGTTCTTCCGCCTATGGAAGATTCTTGCACTCCCCCCAGCCCAAAAAAAGAAACAAGAGAAAAAAAGAGAAAGAAAATGAATGTAATCAAGCTTCTAACCTCAACTTACAGAAAGTGAGTTTGGGGCCTTGTTAAACACTGCACCATGAGGACACAAAGAGTCATAGCCAGAATGTGGGAAAGCCTGCAGCAGGAATGATGTAGTTTATTGAATAAATAATGGTCCTAAAATAACAAAGGGAACTATTTCTGTATTAACTGTGAATGAATAGAACAAAATAAATTGCCTGTGATGGAAAAAAAATAAATAAAAATTTTAAAAAAATGAAAAAAAAATAACAAAGGGAACTATTATTAATTAAAAGAGACATGCCAAATACGACAGGTGAGTTTGATGGTCAGTTTGACAGGGTTTGGAGTCACCCAGGAGACAGGGCTCAGGTGTGTCTGGAAGGGTGTTTCCAGGAAGCTTAATGGAAGTGGGAAGACCCACCCGGAACACAGGCAGCCCCATGCCTTGAAATGGGGTTTCTCTTTGCTTCCTGGCTATTGGCACAATGACTATAATTGTTTGACTTCCTGCCTCCGTGCCTCCCCCACCAGATGGACTGACTACACCCTCAAACCATGAACCAGACAAACTCTTCACAAGAAAAGTAACTAATACATCAACCAGACACAAGATGTGGATCCTTCCAGACATTCCAATTTGAACGAGCCAAATACAAAAGGACATGTTAGAGACGCTGTGGACAGGCAAACGTGGACTGGGAACGTGATACTGTTACGTTGTAGAGCCAGGTGTGGTGGCACATCTCTGTAGTCTCAGGAGTTGTGAGGCAGAAGCTGGAGGATCTGAAGTTCAAGGTCATCCTCCGCCACCTAGCGAGTTTGGAACCAGTCTGGGTTACATAAGACTCAGTTTCAAAAATATAGTAAATAAAATAAAATTATAGTTAATGTCGGGAGTGATGCTGACACTGTACTTATGTCAGAATAATTAAAAGCCTTTATCTAACAGGATATATGGAAAAAGATGGCTGAAAGGTTAGATGCTTTTGAATCACTTTAAAATAGTCTAATGTCTCCCCCCGCTTCTGTCCACCCCCAAACCCCTAGTGGTAAAGCTTGGAAGACTTGAAGTGAGAGAAGAGAATACTGTCAGTTACCTAAGCTTAGTAATGGGTGTGTGAGGTCTTCTTTCTAAGGTCATGTTTGTTTAAACATGTCTGCAATAAAGAGCAAAACAAGTATTTTTTTTCAACAGTTGGCTCAGGTTTGTGGGCACTAAGGAGATTTTGACTCCAAACTGGGGTTCTTTTAAGACAAGCAGGTGATGCTGGTTCAGATGATCCAGGACCAGCTGAGGGCCAGCTGCAAGCGTAATTGCTGTGGGTTGGAAACAAGCCCGTACAGCGGTGGTTCTCCACCTTCCTGATGCTGCGACCCTTTAACACAGTTCCTCATGCTGTGGTGACCCCCAACCATAAAATTATTTTCATTGCTACTTCATAACTGTAATTTTGCTACTGTTCGGAATTGTGATGTAAATATCTGATATGTGACTCCCTGGGTCGAGACCCACGTGTTGAGAACCGTTACCTCATAGGTATTTATTGATTGAAGATGAAGATTCTGTTCTGATCAGGAATTGAAGTTGGAAAATTCTTTGCAACCAGAAAAGGGGGAAAGATAAAATGGGGTAGAAACAGGCAGAGAGAAGACATCCTGGCCAGGATGCCCAACTCCTAGAATTGCATAACAACATCTTTCTATCAGAGTCCAGAGCAAGACATTCTAGATTCTCCAAACTCACTAACTGGAGGAAAAGCTGGATTCTCAGAGACTTGCTAAGTGGGCAATGTCTGAAATGCACCACCAACATCAACACCACCAACACCATCAACATCACCCACTCCCCTCCCACCCCCCACCCCCCACCCCCGCTGCTGCTGGCTGTATATATGGCTAGCTTCTTTAGTCTGGTGTATTACAACACCCAGCGGCCTCCCTCTCCCTTCTATCCAAACTCCAGAGAAGGTGTAATTTGGGAGCTTATGACCCTTCCATCCTTTCAATTTGCCTACATGCATATTTTAGCTCAGTTGCCAGCAGCAATAAAGAAGGGAATCAGTGGAGCGCTTACTGCTGGGAGCGGTCCCCTAAGATGTCTGAGAAAGCAGATATGTTTAGGTAAAGCAGAAGTGAGAATCCTCCAGGGGCGGCTCAGCCACCGAGTTTAATTGGGCTGCAGCTGCTCTGCCTCCCCCCTCCCTCACTGCTGGTTCCGCGTGCAGACAACTGGGATTTACCAGTTAATTGGCTGTCCCCACGATTGTCATTCACTTAGGCTGTCTTCCTAGTCTTTGTAACTACAAAACGCTTCTCTTAAAATAATTTGCTTCTGTGTGGCTCCCCAAGACTCGGGTGGGACCCTCAGATCTGTAGGATTTGTCAAAGAGGCAGGCACATCTGTGCAGGGGACGGTGTGTGTTGTAGGACTTGAGGTGCTGCTGTGAAAAGTCAGCGCAACTGGGGACCCGTGTCCTGGGTTACATAAAGGTGTTGGACCTGGTTCAAGCCTCAGAACCAGTCGGACAGGTTGTGGAGGTTTCTTTTTATTTCTCACCACCCAATTGAACAGAGGGAACTTTCAACTTCGCCAGGTGAATGGTTTACTTGGAAGTGGTGAGAAAGGTCAGCGAGCTGGGATTTAGATTTCACGGCTCTATCTATCATCTTTTCCATAGGCGCTAGACCCCCCAAACAGATGCAAGGCCACAGGATTAAGCAAGAGGCCTCCTGGGCCCACTGGCTTTCAGCTCATCTTTAGAGCTTAGCGGCCAATGGCTTTTTAAGTTGGCTGGCTTCTGACATTAAACGTGGTGGGGACCATTGCCAACATCAATACATCATGTGTGTTCGGATGCTTGCCTGCCCCCAGTTGCATTGTGGTACTGGGTTTGGTGGTCACTCCAGCTTCTCTCTTGACTACTCAAAGGCAAACGACTGCCCAGCTTTCTGCCAAACTATCCTAGAGCCTCCCGCCCTGCCCAGTCCAGTGGAAAGTTCCAGAGTAATTCAGAGAGTGTGCCTCTTTGGAGTGTTTTGTCTTTTTTTTTTTTTTTTTTTTTTAATGGGAATTTTGCCATTCAGGAATTCTAACTGGTTCCTAGGAGATGAGATGGTCCTTTTGGCTCCAACAACCTCTACAACATCTCGGCAAGGCCACTCTCTGTTTACCAAATGAAGACACTGGCCCAGGAGCCAAGTAGAAATCAGTTCCAGGCCTCTCCAATAAAAAAGAAAGGAATGCTATAAGTTATAAATCAAAAGGGAAGTCTGGGGGTTGAGTTTCTCTTTTAACTGGAGAATCTGTGCTGTCGGTGGGTGAGGTCAAACAGATTGGAGTTAAGTGTCTTGTTAA